TAGAGCAGCACTGAAGCAGCTGGAAAAAAAAAAGGGAGAAAATAAATCTATTTGCTGTTCAGTCACAATTTCCATATTTAAAAAGGAGGAAAAAGCTCTTCCAACCTAAACCATCTGTATACACTGACCAAAAATAATTCCAAAATTCTATGAATCTACTTGAAATTATATAATTGATCCTGGTCAATGACTTGCCTATGGAATCTCAACACCTCTAAATGGTATTTTCTGATGTCAGGTGCAAGTTGAACCATTTCCTTTTCCAAAGCAGAGCAGAAGGTTCCATCATTTAATCATTCCCAGCACTTAGGATCAGACAAGTGAGGAAAGTTGCAAGGTCTGCATTAATATCACCACTCCAGCGACCTCTCACACCCCATGGCACAGTGAGAACTCAATTTTACATTAATAAACCCTAACACCAAACTGTTAGAAACTCAGAAGACACCAGGTATTACAACTTCCATAAATTACAGCCGAGCTCAAATGGCCCGTACAAGCAATTGTACAGTGATAAAGCCTAAGTGGATGATATTTAAACAGATACTTGATTTACAGCAGAGTTTTACATCATGCTGGAATTCAAATGACAATTTACAAGTCCAGAGATGAGAAATCCCTGCTCCATGCAAAGTGCTGTTTGCAGTGCTCTGGCAGAAGAGCTGAATGCTGAATCCTTCAGGAAGGAATCTTTCCCTCTTATGGTCTCAGGGCACAGAAGCCAAATGATAAAACAGGACATTTAAAAAGAGAATGAACCAAGCTGCTGCTTCATCCACAGGTAGGAAATTACATCCTTGATCTTCTCAGAGTGATGTCTCACAAAGTTCACTTTTGCAAGGCAGCTGCCTGTGGTTCCTGGCACCACAAAAACTTCTGATGGCAAATTTGGTGGTCTGCCTGTCAGGCTCTTCAGAGATGCACAAACTGTGAAGACTGGAAAGCAGACAGACCCATCTCTTTAGTGGCATCAGCACCACTAAAACCATGCAATTGTAAAAGCCCTCCAAGGCCACCGAGTCCAACCTGTGACTGTCCCCAGCCCAGAGCACTGAGTGCCAAGCCTAAGTGTTCCCTGGATACCTCCAGGGATGGGGACTCCAAATCTCCCTGGGCAGCCCCTTCCAGTGCCTGAGCACCCTTCCCATGGGGAAATTCCTGTTGGTGTCCACCTTGACCTCCCCTGGCCCAGCCTGAGGCCGTTCCCTCTCCTCCTGTCCCTGTTCCCTGGGAGCAGATCCCAAATCCCCCCCGGCTGTCCCCTCTGGTCGGGAAAATGTCCCCACTGAAAGGGTGGTCAGGGAAGTGATGGAGTCATCACCCCTGAAGTGTTCAAAAAACATTTGGATTTGGCACTTAGGAACAGGGATTGTGTTGGGCTTGGCAGTGCTGGGTTAAGGGTTGGACTTGATGATATTAGAGGGCTTTTCTAACGGTAAAAATGGTTTTTTATGAAAATAAGAGCTAGATTTACAGAGGAGGAACTGTGGGATGAACAATCCAGAACAGAACTTTAACACTCAGGTCACAAATGGCTCCTCTGAGATGAGAAACCCTCCTGCTCCCCAGCAATGAGCAACTACAGATAATTCTGGGTAATAAAAAACCCCAAAAACATCAAGGAGAAGATTTATCAGAGGAAAAATCATCGCAGGCTTCCAGTGTGATCCAGGAAAACCTCTGGGCCAATAGCTGGAGCAGCAGTAATTGTTCCAAATCTATCAATAAAGCTGAGCTGCTCCTTCATTGACTGCAAACACCAATTTCTTTCATGGGGGATTATAAGTTGATGTTCATGGTCTCTCTACCACCGTTAGGGTGATAAACAGTTGAAACTACATCAGGATCTGACACGCAGATCAATTCTGGGTCCATAAAGAATCTACACAAGAGCTTCCTGGACAGGGATTTACTGCCCCCAGTTTTTATTCTCCCTCGCTGCTAAAATTACTTCTGTCAAGCACTTACAAGAGTACGGAGGAGAAGGGGGAAAAAAAAAAAAAAAAAAAAAAAAGGAGGAATAAAGGCAAAAAGAATTAATTTTTCATGTGCTACTAGAACAGCCTTTTGAAATTTCGGGAGTTTTTAAGGCAAATATGTTCCTGCATTGGAAATGATGCTGAACAGCACGAGCTGCTCACTATCCAGCACGCAGCAATTTGAAACACCAAACTAAGCTGTCGAGATTTTCTCCCAGGGCAGTCGCAGGCTTCATGTTACCAGCGCCAAATTATATTAGACATTTAATTTTAAACCTGAGGTACTTAAATGTAAAACCTTACAACAGTAATAGTCATAAAGCAGTGGGGCATTCCATTTCAGAGAATGGATTTTTCTATTTTTCCCCTTTAATTTAACCAGCACCTCCTGTTTTGTGGCTCTGCCCACTACAAAGTAATTTATCTAATTAGGAGATGTTCACAGCTGCTTGAAAGACAGAAGCCCCAGGAAACCAAAGGTCTGGTTTGGAAGACTTTGAAAAGTTCTCTGGAGCCACACAAAGTATTAATTTAATGTGAAAAAAAGGTGCAGAGAAAAATTGAATCCCAATATGTTATTTTGTCTACAATAAAACCACGTGACAATAAGCAGGCATATTCTCCAGTACATTGGCATTTGAATTCCAAAAGATGCTTAGCTTCTTGCCATACCTGCTGCTTTCACAGTATTAGCTTTTTATGACTAAAATTCAAAAATCTTTTAATGGAGAAAAACCCCCAGAAATTAAAAAGGGTTTTTCATGCGTCAACTTGCCAACATAAAGGACACATTTCTGAGCTTACCCAAAGATGATACACTCAGAGCAATCAATTATTCTTGAGGTTTTGCAGGAGTTTTAGTGCAATACTTCTGAGTTTGCTGACCCTTAGTTGCCTAAATCTCGTTTTTAATCCAATTTTCTCTCCATATTTACAAAAAAACAACCTCTTAAAATTGTTTTAAATATTAGAACCTCTCTGCAAGAAATTATTTGAGGTAAGCTTATTCACAAGTACCCACCAGTCACCTGCAATTTCAAAATAAGTATTTAACAGGTAATTCTGGCTGTCGTCTCTTTTGAGCCAGAAGTAATCCCATATGAATGTCAAGTCAGAAACGGCACATACAGGGGAGTGCAGAGCTGGGGTGGGACAGAAGGTTCCCTTGGCCAGGAACTGCAAACCAGCTTGGGATCAGCAGCAGGAGGAAAAGGCAAGTCCAGCAAATACAGCATTTTGGAGTCAAGGGGATGGCAAAAGGCAGGAATTTCAGTGCTATTTCTACTTTTTAAGATTCTATTTCCACACTGCTTGTAGGAGTTCACTGAATTCTGAAGGTTTTTCTGCCCCGCAGCCTCATTTGGGACATCTGGCACTGCTCACCTCCATGCAGGTGTGTCAAGGTGCACAGGACTGCAGCCTACAGCTCCTGCTTTCCTCCTAGAGCCAGCGCTCAACGTTCTTCATCTTGCCTTAGAAAAGCCACAGGATAAAAGGCACAAAAAAGCCAAAACTTTGGTCTAACCTTTCAGAAGGTAGGTGAAGTTGGGGTGGATTAAAATGCCAAAGCAGTTCAAGAAATAGAGGCAGAAAATATTATGTTTTTAAGTGTGAAACCAGCTCAGCATCCATGCAGGGCAATGCTGCCTGCCCCAAAAGCTTAACCAGGACTGGGTGGGCTGGGTGGACACAGAAGAGAACAGGGTTGGAGTATTTATTTCACTGTGCTGCTTCACAACATCCCTGCCTTCCTGCAAGGCTCAAGCAGAAAATTCTTAGTCAAAATCTGGACCATTTTAATGCAAATTCTCCTGAAGGTGATGCCCTCATGTTTACAGCTCCAGAAAAAAGTCTGTGCTTTGGTAAGTATGAATTTGATAATTTATGCCACTCTGAAACAAGGTGATTATGATTTTAAACCCTCTGCTCTCCTAAGGTGGCACTAAAAACCTGTCCAGAACTGCTGGAAAACCCAGAGATGCACTCAGGGCTATCTATACTCATATTCAGACCTTATACAGACACAGAGATATATATGGGACATGTGAAATAGTCCCCATATTCCCCTAACTGTTCCCATTTTAGGGGCAGCCATCAGAAACAGCAGTCTTCCCCTTTCTCCTGACCTATTCACCCTGGTCTGGTAGCAAATATCACATCTACCCTTTAAAAACAATTATTGCTACAAGCTAATAATGTCAAATAACCACCAGGAATAGTGTCTGCTCCTTTTAATGCTGTTAAATGCTCCACAGAGGAAACACCAAGGCTATCCCAGGAGTGTGCAGGCAGTGGAGCAAGGGCACAGCAGAGAAAAGACTCGCTGAGAAGATGTGGAGGGTCATTTACTGCTAATACCCATCACACAGGGCAAGGAATCTGAACATCAAGCAAACATCACACATGATGTGACAGCTCCATCCCTGGGGGTGTCTAAGGCCAGGATGGACAGGGCTTGGAGCAACCTGGGATAGTGGAAGGCGTCCCTGCCCATGGCAGGGGAAGATGGACTTAAAGGTCTCTTCCTACCCAGACCATTCTGGGATCCTATGATCATGCACCTGACATTAAAATTAAGCAGTATTGTAACTACATTAGCTCTTTCACGCTGAAGAAAGAATCACAGATTTTTCTGTGGTTGCTCCAAGTCCCATCCAGCTTGGCCTTGGAGAATTCCAGGGCAGCCACAGCTTCTCTGGGCAACCTCTGCAGGGCCTCACCACCCTATCAGGGAAGGATTTCTTCCCTAATATCCAAGCTAAACCTCCTCTCTTCCAGCTCAAAGCCATTCCCCCTTGTCCTCTCACTCTGTGCCTTCATAAAAAAAGTATTACATCCATCCATTCCCTTTCTTCTAATTCCAATTTTTCCCTCAGATGCTGCAAGTTCAGCACCTAACAGCACAACGGGGTGGGGTCATCGTTCCATTTTTTTTTTTCCCTTTTGAAAAAAAGCAAGAGCACCAAACTCCCCGTTGAGCCCAAAGCACGTGACCCCCCCCCCAAGCTGCAGGTTTCTTACCACTGCTAATGCCAGAGTTGGCAATGACTGTGGCCTCGCTCCACTGATCTGCACTGGAGACCGAGTAGGAGCGCTGGTGCAAACCGTCCGGGCGGCTGTTGAAGGACACCAGACTGATCCCACTGGCCATCTGAGACACAGATGTGCTAGCAGTCACGTTCCCTAGGCACAAACGGAAAACAAATTGTGTCAATAGAGAGGACAAAAGGGATTTTGCATCAGGATGGATGGGGGGTGTCTTAACAAGAGCAGGAACACGGGTTACTTCACCCACACAACAACCCTCTCTGAAGCGCTGGGGCTGACAGTCCTGAGACTGGCTCAAATCCAGCCAAGAAGACAAAAAAAGCCGAATTTTTCATGGTGTCACCTCATTCTGTTCATTCACCTTCAGGGAAACACGATCTTCCACCACCCTGCTACCAGGCACACTCTCTGGAGCTTCTCCGCTTGTTACACCGTGCACAGAAAATCAATTTATTCCTAAAAGTGACTGTTCATACAACTGAGCCAACTCCAAGAGTGTAAAACAATCCACCTCTAAATAATACCTGACACATGTATGTGCCCCAAGAACACAGTGATGGGGAACAAATGACTGCCAGCACTGAGACACCAAGGGGAAAAACAAAACTTTCTTGGACATTTAATCTTAAAACAACATCATGACACAAAGCAGCACTGGACTGCAAGTATCATTCCTGGGGCTCGTCCCAGGAATGTGACACAAAAAGGGACACACAAAGAACACCCTTTCCCCAGTAAACACTTCTGTATTTTCACGATCACTGAGGCCTAGGACATTAAAATGCTGGGAGCTGTGTGCAAGAGGGAGTGACAGGGACAGGTTTCTCACCATAAAACGGGACAAGTGGGATCTGGTTGAATACATTTTAAAGTAGAAACAATTAAAACCTTTCCAGAAACTCCAATTTCCGATGGTTTTACTTACGACTTGCTACAGGCCAAAACGTGCTCCAAGGTTTTGGCTTCTGAGCACATTTTATTCCATTCCTAGCAAAGGCCTTGCATATCATAAAGCCACAAAGAATTTACAGTGCCAGTTTCATTCCTCGTGGCAGGCTCTCTAAAGGTGCCCCACAGGTCCTCTATGGATTGAAGAATACTCTTAAAAAACACATGTGAAGGGAAAGGAGCAGACGCAATATTATAACGTACCCTCACACTTTGCATTTCCATTGCACCTTCTACTGATGAGTTCAGAAAAATTAATGAATTAATTTTCAATGCTCCTGTGAGGTTGTTAATTATCTGCTATCATTTCCCCCATTTTTCAGAGGTTAAATGACCCAGGGCCACAAAGGAAGATTGTGGCTGACTTGAAAATAAAACCCAGATCTCCTGACTCCCAGTTCTATCATTATGTCTTTTCCCAGAGCAGCCTTTGGGAAGACAACAGAGCTTAGTGAACTACTTTGTGTTTATTAGAGTTGGCGTAATTGTCCCTTTCTCTCCTCCCCTTTCCCAAGACAAAATCTCCTCTTTAGTCCCTAGCACAGATCCATCACAGTTATCTGTGCCTTCAATGTACTTACTCAGCCCTCAAGAACTTTGCCTGGCAATCCCTGCTTTGCAGACATGAAATACAGAGAGAAAAATTCATTTGTTTAATTATGCAAAATCTAAGGTGGGTTTTGGAACCATATTGGGACCTCCCAAGGCATGAGACTACAGAGCAGAAGACTGAATTGCAATTCAGTCTTTTAAAACCACAACAGAAAATGAAAACATGAGCTGACAAAAATTGTATTTTGTGCTGTCTTAACAGAAATCTCTCCTTCCAAATCAGCTTCTGTGATGCTCACTTTGAAATCCCTTATTCCTCTGGTTTTCACAATCCAGAAAAACTATGGATATAAATAAATTATTTTGATGAGCCATCAAATTAAAGGGAATGGCTGATGTGAGTGACAAGAGTTTGAGACCGAGTGGGTTCTACAAACTTGAGATTTAGGCCAACATAGATACAACACAAGCAGTGATATTTTTATGCTGACATCTTCCACCTAGTCCACAAGCTTTTGAACACAAGTGTCCAATCACCTTCAAACCACAATGCAAAACCTTGGAATGAGACCATCAAGATTTTCATGTCGTCTTTCTAGCACCAGAAGCTCCACTCTCACCTTAATGCCACCTGAGGAAACTCCAACACCATGCTGGGACTTGAACCTGTTGAGAAGTGACTTATTCTGGGAACCAAAGAAGAATTTTTCTTCCACTGCACCTCTCTCAAAGGTATGGGCTGCTAGCACAAAACAGGTGCCAAGTGCATTCATGGGACACTTTACTGAACTGTGATGAACCCAGCCCAGCTCTCTCTTTCCTACTCCATAGCCTGGTAACCTTTATCCTGCAACCTTTATGACAATATTTATTGAGGATTCAATCCCACTTTGTGCAGATGCTGCAAGGTGTGTATTTTGTGACAGATCAGACCATCAAGTCAGAATCCACGAGTAGGTATCAGAAGGGCCAGACTACAGAAAATAGTGTGTCTGTCTTTTCCTGTCCTCCTCCTCGATGTATTCAGGTCTAGCACAAACTTGTTACTTAGAACCTTATTTAAAAGTCATTATTTCCCAATCCAGTGCTAATTTTTCTACTTCTCAGTCCAACTGCAGGACATGAATCCCACACTAGGCATTAATGCTGCCAGCCCAAAACAGGGACTGCTGCTCTTGCTGTGTCCCCAACACAGTCCCACAGTTCTGCCCATCTACAATGGGCAAGCCCCAAACCAGACCTGGCAAAAGTCCTTTAATTTTCCTCATGGATAAATCCTCGACCACCTCAGACTTTCAGCAGACAAGCAGGAGACAGTGAAAAAGAGGAGGCCAGCAGTACCCAGTGGAAATGCTGAAGATGGAAGGGGGCTTGGACCAGATGAGATTTAAGGGTCCTTCCAACCCAAACCATTCCGTGGTTCTGTGATCCATGATGTATGTTGGGGTTGGCACAGAAGCCTTTACATCCTGCACCTCGTGTCCCCCCATCCACAGACAGACCCCCATCTTCAATGGACCTCAAGCTCCTGGCCTGCTACCTGGCCCACGCTGGAGCTGTGAAAGAGCTGCCTATTCAAATGCATCCTACGTGCATCAGCTGGTTGCTTAAGTTGATTAGCAGGGGGCAGTTAAATTACTATGCTAATCCATGTATTCTCAGCACTGTTTCCTTGATATGGATATGTGTATATGCTTACTGGGAAGCCTTGATTAGTTCAAGCTTCAATGTGTCAAAGGCTCCAGATTCTTTCCAAAGAATAATTTTAGCTGTACTCACATCCCTAAAGTGTGGGAGCTGATTTGAAAAGGTACTTACCTCTACCATATGCTATTTTTCTTTAAACAATTTGCATTTCAAAAGGAATATGGCATTTATATTTGAATGAATATCAGTATGTTGCCAGAACTGGTCTCAAATGAGCAAAAAAAAAAAGATGCTGGTCTCCTATTGAACAAAAATGTTTTCATCTACCAAAGGAGCATCAAAGAAAGAGTTCCTCTTTCTAGCTCTAGACAGCTTTATTAAAACTATCTTTTCTGATGTTATAAAACACCCCGTTAAGGCTGCGCTTACAAAACGTTCAAACAATTAAGCCCCACAAAACCCATCCAAATTAAGATTCAAGGTAATTTCCAGGTTCGGCCGCTGCTCAGCAGACGAGCCCCGAGCGTGCTCACACAAAACCCTATTTAAATACTCATTGACTCAGTGTAAATCGCTGCAAAGAGCAGGTGGAGGCAAGAGGAATTAGGCTGAGGAGTGCCCGTGTATGGAGAAGCTGAGGGTTTGAAACACAGACTGGGGGCAGAAGGAGAACAAGGAGTCACTCTGGCTCCTCACACACAGCTCTTTGGGATTCCCAAAACGATAGAGCAGAAACGCAAGACTTAGAAATGAAATGGAAATAACCACGGTTTACACAAACATGGGACCGGACAAGATGTGGACAGTGTGTGACTAGTAGGTAAAAACCAAAAGGTAAAAGGTCTGTTGTAAAAATTGTAATAAAATATGCAATTAAGGTCAACAGAAATGCTGTCTTACATATATGCAATGACCTGTCCAACAAAAATAAACCACTCAGGGTTTTGGTCATATTTGCTCCTGTAATGGAGCAGTACAAGGGACAGCACGTCTGCAATCCCTCTTTTGCTGGTTTTTAACTTAATAATCCTGTGAATCATCACAGGTTAGTGGTACAGACACATCATTTCAAGCCCTCACCAACTACATCACTTACTAATTACAAATGCAGAACGAATATAATACACAAGCAGACCCTGGGAAGTGAGATACAAGTGACACAAACAATACTGGGCACAAATGATTTCCATTCCCTGCTGCAGACACGTCTGTGATTTCTTCCAAACAAATCAGCTACCAGAAGTTACATTCACAAGTGCAACTAATATACTGCTGGATTTATGAGACAAGCAGTCAGTGCAGGAGTTGTGAAGCAGAACTATATTTTTCCATGAAGCAGCAGTGTATGAGACTCACAGGGGGCTGCACAGAGACTGAATCAGATAAACTGCAGCCCTACTGCTCTGCTTTCACCATGTTTCATTTGTGCCAAGCTCCTCGTGTCCATGATGAGTTTCTCTTACAAAAAAAAGGAAAAAGAGAAGGAAATAAACCTCTTAAGGCCAGAGGGCTGTGCTCACCAGCTGTTAGAACTAATGAAAAATACATTAGAGTTGTGGGTCAGGAAATCCTGACTCTTGATATCAGAGGGTTAATTGTTTCAAATCATGTTGGGTCAATTTGTGTTGCAGGAATTCTGCCTATTCTTGATATGCCCTCTAATTCAGCACCAGGCACTGTCAAGTAGGTTAGATTGGCTGTGGATGCCCCTTCCAAACCCATACCCAGCACTGCTCCCTCAAGTCTCTTCAGAGTGGAAAGGGAAAGGGAGAAGCCCCATTGCACTCCCTTCCCATCCTCAGCTCTGCATCATGCTCAGAATTAATTCCCAGAGTTGTGCAGAATCCTTTCCTGAGAAGTGTCTGACCATCCCAGCTATGCTTCCTGCCTCTCCAACACATATAGAAATGAACCTTGGGACCAGGAACATTTGGGGATCCTGGGTTCCATTAGAGTGCTGCCTCAGCATCCATCTTTTCCAGGCACAT